ATCACCCTTACTTTTCCATGTTGTTCACATTACCTGTAACTAAAGTCAATCTAATGTAGTATATACCTGATATGTGTTTTTGTTTCTACTACTAGCTGAAAGATCAACCTTACTTTTCCATGTTGTTCACATTACCTGTAACTTAAAGTCAATCTAATGTAGTATATACCTGATATGTGGTTTTTGTCTCTACTAGCTAGCTGAAAGATCACCCTTACTTTTCCATGTTGTTCACATTACCTGTAACTAAAGTCAATCTAATGTAGTATATACCTGATATGTGTTTTTGTTTCTACTGCTAGCTGAAAGATCACCCTTACTTTTCCATGTTGTTCACATTACCTGTAACTTAAAGTCAATCTAATGTAGTATATACCTGATATGTGTTTTTTTTTGTATAATTTTAGAAAGGACCAGGTGAGTACTTAAGAAGTTAAAAATCACAATGTCTCTTTACCCCTCACTTGAAGATATGAAGGTTGACCAGATGGTTAGAGCTCAGGCTCAACCCACTCCATCTCAGCAGTATGTGCCAACAGTTCAGGGATCTCTTCAGCCGTTTTCCCCGTCAGCCCCTCCGGATAAGTATGCTTCTCTTTACCCTACATTGGATGAGTACATGGGACTCTCCCTGAGCCCCAGTGCTTTACCTGAACACGTGTCCAATGCTGTTAACCTTCCTTTTCCTAGCCAAGTGGCTGTACCTAACGTGTCTTCCTCGTCCCAGATGGTAGCACCAATATCTGGATCATCCCTGGGGCTGAAAAGAGCCCAAGTAACCCACGGGATTCGAGAGGTGGTTTTATGTAAAAGTCAGAATGGGAAGGTTGGTTTACGTCTCCATCCAATCAACAAGGGAGTGTTTGTCGTTTTAGTTAACGAAGGTTCTGCGGCTGCCTTGGCTGGTCTGCGGTTCGGTGACCAGATTTTGATGATTGATAACGAAGTTGTGGCAGGTTATAGCATGGATAAGGTCCACGGCTTACTGAAGAAAGCTAATCCAGAAAAGATAACGATGGCCATTCGAGATCGGCCATTTGAACGCACGGTTACCCTACACAAAGATAGTGCAGGCCATGTAGGATTTGCCTTTAAGAATGGGAAAATCATTTCTATCATCAAGGATTCATCAGCTGCTCGCAATGGCCTTCTAACAGAACACCAGCTTCTGGAAGTAAACGGACAGAATGTGGTCGGGCTGAAAGACTCTAAGATTACCGAAATAATCGACAGTGGTGGAAACGTAATCACGGTGACTATTATGCCTTCTTTTATCCACGATCATGCAGTCAAGAGTATGGCAAGTGGTCTTAAGAAACTAATGGACCATACTATTCCAGATGTATAATCTAATCATGTCATGAAGAGGAATTTGGAACAATCAGTTGGTGTTTTCAAAACTAGTAAAATCTTTAAATTAATAAAAAAAAAAACATCTAAAAATTAAAATACAGAACAGTATAGGTACTACACCGAGAAATACGTGTGTGTGGGGGGGGGTAATCCTTTCCTCCCTCAAGTTTTTCTCATTTTTACAACTATAATTACTCTTTGTCTGTAGAGGTGTTGGCTTGAGCTGGATGTATTTTGTATAAAATTGTCAATAGTTTCAAAGGATTTCTAACCTGGTAAAACTGAGCTTCTAGTAACAGGTGTCCAAAGAAAGTAGGTTTGAGAAACAAGATGAGAGTTTAATAAAATGTGCACAATTTACTCTGTTCATGAATAATTTTCTTGTTAATAACTTGATTTTGAGTAATTATATTTTATTATTTACAACAACTATTTGAATGGCTTTGTTTTGAAGGTACTTAAATCAGTTTTGTAAACTTTGTTATTGAGTACAATGGATGTCAACGTAAAACTTGATTGATAACATTGTTATTACTCAGCCATATATATAGCTGGATTGTTATGTAATACTACAATATCTTGATATTAGTTGTAATTTTGTAGGTCAAGTGAATTTTCCATTGATTTTTTTTAATTATAACAAGGGAGGTGTGTAAACAATATATGTATGTGTACAAGTTTCTTTTTTTTTTGTGACTCAATTTTAAGCTTGCAGTATTCTGTGATGATATATTTATAATTTTTATTTGTATCTCAATTTAATGATGAAATAAACTTGTATTGACCCAGAATAAAGTGTAACCATGTGAAAGAGTAGGGTCAGTACAACTTGAGCTACTACATCTATCGGTGAACTTGTCTTTCTCATTCAACTGGCATATTTGATTTACAGTTTGTGGTCTCCTCGAGGGTTTATTATAAAATAATATACCTAAACTGTAGGTAGCTTACAACAAGCAGTCTTTTAACACAGGTATACATATTTCATGCTGAGTCACTAGTAGGGGTGGGGATTCACCTACCTATTACAGGAAGGTGTGTTGTTTTGGTTGTTATTAAGCATAAAACTACACAATGGGTTATCTGTGTCCTGTTCTCTGAAGCATACATATTTCGTGCTGAGTCACTAGTAGGGGTAGGGATTCACCTACCTATTACAGGAAGGTGTGTGTTAAAAGACAGCTTGTTGTAAGCTACCTACAGTTTCTGCAAAAAAGGGAAGCGAGCGGGTACGCTAAACATGCCTTTTTTATTTTACTAAACCTAATTCATTAAAAGATACTTTGTTTTATTAAGCAGAAAGTATTAACAAATCTTATCATCTAGAAACGTGTATTATAAAACCATAAGTTCTGATTACTGGTGTAAGAAATTTACAAACAGGTAAATGATTGTAAAAATTAATCGCACAAAACATGTAGTCATACATTAAAGAAAGCCAAGTAAATCTGCCATCTTGCTTCGTGGTTGTTTAACACCTCTTGTGGGCTATGTAACCAGGTAACCTTCACACTAACGCACGGAACTGGTGGTAAAAACGTTTTTTTAGCATAACTATTTCTGAGCGCCATCTATTGAGTTTTCTAAATAGTATTGAAAAAAAAAAACGTGACTTACTTTCATATTATCTAGTACTATAAAACACAGTGTGTATCTGTCTGTCTGTCTCTTTGTCATAACAACTTATTACGTAATTTAATTTCCTGTCAATTAGTCTACGACTGATCAACAATTAAAGATATATTTGAACTAAAATGTACGTTTTAGGTATATCTACGTTACATTACTTTATGTAACTTACCTATCCCGCTTCACCCCACTTTTTTGAATTATTGTTTATCGATCATACAAAGAAGACTTCTGAATACAAAATAAGGTGAACACACTTGATTCGTTTTGCCATTTTTCTTTGTTATAAATTCTGTGTCCTTTTGATATACATTAAAAACTACCTATAAATTTAAATATTGCGTCATTGATAATTATTTAAAACGAAAAACTTCCTTAGGGTGGAAATGAAATGTCTTTTTTTATATATATTTGTCTGAATTAATCCAAAATATTGTAAAACAAAACTGTTTATATGTTTACCTGATCAACTATAAAGTCACATGTTTGTGTGTATTTCACTGGACATCAAAATTATGGGCCTTGTGAGGTCTCTAACTGACCGGGTTTTAATAAAACTTTATAAGGACGCGACCGCTCCATTGTTCACCGATAAGTCTATGGACTTAACCAATAAAAATTGGGTTTCTATACCCCTGGTGGACACAGTATAGATAGCTTACTGAGTAGCTTTGCGCTTCACTACAAATAAAAGAAAATCATAAGAACGCATACTAAAACCTGTAACTAGAAATCCTAATTCCACGAAGCGTGAGGAAAACAAGGCTTAATTGATGTTTACAGAATGTTTTAATTTTAAATAACCACAGATATAATTAGCCAACTTGTCATAAGTCCGGAACAGAATATGAAGGAGCTTTATTATGATAATTTAGCTAGTTATATTTAAACTTCATGGATTTAAAACTTTTAATGATATGATAATAATGTCATCTATGCTCTAGTTTTAGTACGCCTTACCGGTTCCGGGTTTATTATCACCTTTCATAAACGTCTGCTGTCCAAACTTTGGAGTGTACACAAAGATGCTTTTGGAGTGATTTTAAAATGCACATATTTTTTTTCTTCTTTTCAACAAACCATATGTTGTTTTGAAAGAGTAAGTTGATGTAAAAACTTTCCACTAGAGGCGGTAGTGACGTCACACGAGATAAATTCTTGCACAAAGAGCCAGAACAAACAAACAAACTTCAGCTTTTCGGAGGTTTGTTGGTGTCACAAGATTTGTACAAATTAAACAGGGAGTGATGTTCTCCAGGCTTCCCTAAAAACTTGGCTTTTCTGATTGGCTCAGTTTTTGTCGTCAGTAGCCTGCACGATCAACTAAGCCTAATTAGTGACTTTCTTATTATTATTCATGATGTCAGAAAAACATGTAAATTCAAGAAGTCTTGATGCAAGATTATAAAAACCCTATAACCCTGAAGAAGAAAGGTCCACCTTTCGAAAGCGCTCGGGTTATAGGTTTTTATCATCTTGTATAATTTCTTATTACTAGGTGCTAATTACACTGGCCTGCGAATTTAAACTTCATAAAAGGGTTTTAATAACGAATTTTCCATAATTCAGCTACGCAGATTTCGAAAATAATATTATTTTTTCTATCACTTAAGAATTTTTTTACAAATCTGGAAGAAACAAAACTGTTACTTAAATCAAATTGTTATTTCGTTT